CGAAATAAAAGCTACTCCCTCCGTTCCGAAATAATTGTCGTTGGGGGCATCATTCCGACTAGGTGAAATAGTGTGAAAGTACAATACTACCCCCGATTTGAAATCCATCGGGAGGCGTCTTCCTCCGTCGCTCCTCCACTCCGCCAGGCTTCTCCGCCGTCGCTGCTCCCTTTCGCCGGGCTCCTCCGTCATCTGCATCTCCAGCGTCCTTCCCTGCCGCGGTCCGCAGCTCCCTCGCCGGCCGGTCGCCCTTCCCCGCCGTGGTCCGCAGCTCCCTCATCGGCCGCCCTTCCGCGCCAAGATCCGCAGCTCCCTCGCCGGCCGCCCTTCTCACCGGCTGCCTGCTCTGCCACAACTTCGGATCCTTCGCTGCTGGCTACAGATCCTTCGGCGGCCGCCTCCCCCCACTCCAATCAAGAGCTCAAGGTCAGCCGCTGCGCTGTCCACTTATGCTGCTCCTCTCGTCTCTGCTCCTCTCCACTCCAATCAAGAGAATCTGCAATTGATTCAAAAAATAGGTCAATTGATGTCAATTTGATTAACTAAATCATCCAAAAACCAGAATGATAAGTCCATATGCTACTGTTGATCCCAAGACCGGAATGACAAGTTCAGGTGTTCCTCAATTGAGGAATTTGATTAACTAAGTCATCCAAAAACCAGAATGATAAGGCCCCATGCTACTGTTGATCCCAATTTTGATGCATATCAATTGCTGTTTGAGTTCTCCAAATGAACATGAGTACTCCTCAATTTTGATATGAAATCACCATGATACTGTAGGTCCTTAAGCCCTCCTGTCAAATAAAATAATGTACTGATCTTGAAATACTCCTGTCAAACAAAATAATGTACTCCTCTGACAGGAAGATCCTTAAGCCCTCTCTGACAGGAAGATCCTTAAGCCCTCTCTGACAGGAAGATCTTTCATTGGCACAAAAGGGGTACCACGAAAACAAAATAAACATTTGAGCGAAACAAAATAAATGGAGTACTCCCTCTCAAAATTGAACATTGGTAAAACTGATTAGTCGACGAAAGTCGCTGTATAGTTGACGAATCACTGTATAGTCGCCCTAAGTCGCTGTATAGTCGCGAGTCGCGCTGATTTTTGGAAAACGACTTGGCGATTAGTCGGCGACTAATCAGCGACTCAAAAACCAGGGAAAGTAGTGCTGCCACTCCTAATTAACTGAAGAAGATCTTGAGCCTTTTAAACTACAGCAGCAACAGTATACAGATAAGCAATCATTTTTATGCTCTGCTCATCATATCCGGACAGAAAATTACTCATTGAACTAAATAATCAACTTGGTACAGGTAACTTAATTTACTTGAATTAAGGGTACAAAATAATCACAGGAGTCTTGCTTCAAAATGCGCAGGCAGGATTCTATGTTCGCCACATCAAATAATCATAACTCTAAATCACAGTTAAATAATGTATGTGTATCAAACCAAAGAGGAAGTTCTCTTCCAAACAGAATCATTGGTGCTAACACTAATATAATCTGGAAAACACACATAAAGCTAAATGACAAAAACACCACAATCTTCTGAAATTAAGGGACGTATTTGCTTTCGAAGTGTTCAGACTCTGCCCATACTCAGTAATCTGAAAACTGTACCAAGAGACAAAACAACAACATCATCTGAAGTTGAACGTACCTGCCCATCTTTGAGCACGCCCCTGTAAACCCGGACGAAGCCGCCCTTGCCGATGAGGTTCTTGTCGCTGAACATGCCGGTGGCCTCCTCCATCTCCTTGAGGGTGAACACCATGGAGTAGTTGCGCTTCTTCGGCGCGGGCAGCGGCAGCGGCTCCTTCACCTGCCACAGCTCGGCCGTCTTGTACACCCCTACAGAAGAAAAAATCAGATAACCAAATTCTCATGGCATACTTTTTTTCTTTTGGAAGTTTTCATGGCATACTTTGAAGAATGTTGCACTGAAGAAGCAGATGATCATACAGTGACAAATCACTTTGCCAACAACAAAGTGGGAATGAAATAGAGGGTTGCACTCACAAGGATTCAACTAGTCAAGTGATTTGCTTCTCCTCTCATTCCAACCACAACCCAATCTTCAGTCATCTCACTGGTGTTGCAGGTTCAGTGTGATGACAGTGCTCGACCGTCTCCGTTATTGACTTGCTGATGATCTTGATTGCTTGGACCGGCAAGACTGCTGGCAGTACCAACCAGGACCTAAACCGGAGCATAATCAAGAGTAAGCATGTCCAATTAGGCACGGTAAAGAGAATGGGAGACACAATAAAACAACAAAATGAAATTCAGTAAACAAAAACACTAGACATAGTCCATCAATGTGTATTTCTGGAACTGAAAATAGTGAAATGTCATATGGACAACACATTTATTTTCTCGGCTTGATTGTATTCGTAGCAGGAGTATCAAGATTCAGTTTCAGGCTTTTGTTAGTTGGTCTTGGTCATAACATTTGAGGCTAGATATCCTACAGGTTTTAATACAGTGGTCAACAGATAAACATAGCATTGGAGTACCTTTTTTTAACTTTGTATCTTCTGGTGTACCTTTTTTTAACAGTATTGGAATAAACACAGTGGTCATAGCATTGGAATAAACATTGACAAAGCAAGATCAACACCAGAAGAAACTTACTGGATTATTATCCCGGAGTACCTTTTTTTAACTTTGTATCTTCTGGCATTGTGTGAGAGGGCTGTGATGCAGCAAGCTGTAGTGTAGAGCAGTGGTGTACTGTTGTGAGTACAACCATCTTCCTTTCCTTTAACTTTGTTATTGTTGTTGTCAGTTAAGTGCTTTTGAAAGCACTTGGCATAAAAATTCAGTTAAGTGATTCCAAAAGCACTTTGCTGAATATTAATGCACATAGGTGCATAAAAATTCAGTTAAGTGCTTTTGAAAGCACTTTGCTGAATTTTAATATCTTCTACTTCTACTACAATTCATTTGATTTTAGTTAACTCAAGTTCATTTTAAGAGAAGAGAAGTCAAGAGAAGGAGGGTACTCCTGCTACAATTCATTTAATGTTAGTTAACTCAAGTTCATGTACTGAAAAATCATTTAGTTTTAAATTAAAAAACAAGTTTCAGTTAATTAAAATTAACTAAAAAAGTTTTAGTTCGTTTACTCAAGCAGGAGCACACTTGCTACACTTGCTATTGATGCTCCTGTGCTTACTAAATGGAGTAATTCAGTTAACACTGATCTAGTGTTAACAAATGTGCTCACTAAATACAGCATAAAATCTTTGACATCAGCCATTGACTAAATGTGCTCACTAAACTGAACATTGGTAACACTGTAGCTAACTAACTAAAATTACAGGTCCTGGGCTACAAATGCTGCCATGTTTGTATGCACATTCTTGTGCAGTTTCTGCTCCATGTTGGAATACAAAAAGGAAACCAAACATGTTGGAATACAAAAAGGAAACCAAACATGTTGGAATACAAGTTGGAGTACAAGCGCTAATCAATAATATCAGGTCTCTCACCTCAGCATGCTTGGTTAAGTATTTTTGTTAACCCCTTCACTGCCACAAACTGTCCATCAGCAAGCTGTCCTTTGTACACCTCAGCATGCCGTCCCTTTTCAACCAAATTATCTACAGAAACATTGTACATTCAGTTTTCAGCTGGAACATGAAGCAAAACAAATCAAGAAAATGCAAGATTACTTGTCTTAAATGTACTCTAAATCTTGCAACCACTACTCCAAAACAGTACTGAAAAACTACTGCGCCTAAAACAGTACTGAATCTGATTTGGCGCGCGGGGAGGCAGTCGATGGCCTCCCGGACACGCTCGGCCGTCGACAGGCCGGGCTTCGTCAGGCTGACGTTCTGCTCCGGGGTGTCTGCATTGCGGCAACAGCGGCAAACGGTTTTTCTGAATCAGAATCAATCAAGATTAAGGAAGTAATTTGGTGTTTGTCAGAGTGCAGTGCAGCAGGGAGAACCTTCCCAGCGGTGGGTCGAGGTAAACAGTGGCGGCTCGGGGATCTCAGCTTCGGAGACAAGCTGCAAACAGAGCAGAGCAGAGCGTCAGAGAAGAAGAAGCAGAGCAATTCAGCAGAAAGTAAAAACACCATAGCAGAGTAAAAAATAACTGTGCCCAGATATTGTTTTGGTGAAACTGTACTGATCGGTGCTTACGGCTGAACAACAACATCATCCACATGCATGTGGAGGTGAGAATTACTAGAATTGTGAGGCTCGGGCATAAAAAAAAGAGAAGCGTTCATCACAAGTGAAGTGCATGCACCTTGTTGATGAGATTGTCCTTCTTTAGGATGTAGAGCAGGACCCAGCCCACCACCGGCATCTCCAGGACCCACACGAAGATCTTCACCAGAAGCCCGGCGACCAGCGGAGCTGGTCAACGGAATTCACAATTCAGAATTTAGAATTCAGCAGCAAGAAGAGAAGACCCATTAGAATTGCACTGAATACCACCAAATTTGGTATACTGAAAAACTACTGCAACCAAAACAATACTATACTTCATTTTACTCCGAAATTAAGCTACTGCATTATTGAGGCTTCATGTGCAAAAAAATAACAGTAGCTACTACTGCTTTCAGTAGCACAAGAACTACTCCAAGAGAGATAATTAATGTTAACAGTTTCTTTTCCATGCTTCTTTGCCAATTGATGATGCAGCAGATTTTAAAGAAGAAAATCAGGAAGAGGAACTTTGCCTCCAACAAGTCTGGAGGATGGTGGATCAACCTTTTTTCCACTGGTGGATGGACTCAGTGGCGGATCTAGGATTTTAGACCAGGGTGGTCCACCTAAAAAAATAGAACAAATATGACATGTGTACATTCTAATTAGTTTACCAATACCATGTAGAATTATAAATAGATCAATATGGTCGAATGTGGTTTTACAAACATACTGCAATTCTTAATTATGTCTTTTTCTAAACTTGCTCTTGAGTAAACTCATGGTAGAAAATCAACACTTATCGTCGCCGCCGGCTGAAGCAATAATAAGTCTAGAAGCAAGCACACCAAATTATGATATATATGCCTCTTTGTTTGAAATTGGGTTGAAACCGTGGCTGCTACACGCCTCCAGTGAAGCCAACCTGCCAAGGAGCGGGATGGATGTGAAGAGCCAAGGAGCATACCACTACTGAATGCAGTTTGCTCTACACGCGCCACAGCTGAAAAGTTCAGAATTCGTACAAAATATCTAGTCAATCTCCATGTAAATTCGTCTAAATCAGAGCAACAATGGGGGCAGGGGAATGACCGGATGGATTACCTCTCTCAGAAAAAGGCAACGGGTTGAGCGGCCGAGACTAGGCACTAGCTGCGGCAGCTGGGAGCCCCTGCGCGAACAGCAGCTAGCCGGGCGGGGCAGGCCGCAGCCCGTTGGCGTCAGACCAGGGCGGTGGCTCCGGGCGGCCGGGAGGGGCCAGCGAAGCCGCGACAGCGAGGCAGGCAGCTGACGGCTGATCGAAATCAGTGGAGACGGCCAGTCGGGAGAGGCACTAGGTCTGGTTTGCTCGTGGGCGTGGCTGCGTGTGGGTCGGGACGTGCATTAGGCTGTTGTTGGGCTTTTTTCCCCAGTGGCCCATCTCCTCGTAACATATAGTATACAGGCCGGCCTAAAATCCCAGGGTGGGCTGCGGCCCACCCTGGCCACCCTGTAGCTCCGCCCCTGGATGGACTGGATGGAGCTGGTAACTGAATTTATTCAAATTGGTGAAGTGAAAAGAGGAGGACCTTTAGTGGTGGATGTGTGTTTGAATTATGCCCCCGCTCACTGAATGATTTGCAATTTCTGAATGGTTTTCAAGTCTGGACTCTGAGATGCAAATACCGAAAGGAGGTCCCGGGAGTGTTTTCTTGTGATGAGTAAGAAGAATCTATAGTATGAGTAGCTCTGCAGTGTGCGTACATAGTCAATGGTCTGTACGACGACGTGTGCACGACGACAACGTGGAGGCTCCGCTGCCACTCTAGGTCCGCTCAGGCGCTGCTCCGACTCGTCAGATCCGCCGCTCTGCTGCTCCGCCGCCACTCTAGGTCCGCTCGGGCGTTGCTCCGACTCGTGAGATCCGTCGCTCTAGGTCCCCTCGGGCGCCGCTCCACATCCACGCCCCCTATCCCATATCCAGCTCTGGCGCTGCTACACATCCATGCCTCCGTCACAGAGAAGCTCGTCGCCGACGCAAAAAGAATCAATTTTGCCTACGGGGTGTGAGTGAAGGCTGGGTGGTGGGGAGAAAGGGGCGGTGGAAGAGGCCGGCGATGGGAATAGGAAGAGTCCGGTGACGAGGAGAGGGGGAAGGCGGCAACGAGGAAAGGGAGTGGCCGGCCACCGAGAGGAGAGGCCGGCGAGGGAGAGGCGACGAGGGAAGGGGATAAGGTGGCCGGCGAGGGAGAGGAGAGGGAGAGCGAGCGAGAGCAAGCGAGCGGTGCGAGCAAGCGAGCGGATAAGGTGGAAGGGTAAATCTGGAAAGTGAGAAAAAATTATAGCGTTGCGAAATTTGTACTAGGATTGCCGAGCGACAATTATTTCGGAATGGAGGGAGTACAACACAAGACCTGACGAGTCGTCGCCAAAATGATGGCTCGTGAAGGGAAATGATGCCTGATAACCCACAAGTATAGGGGATCGCAACAGTTTTCGAGGGTAGAGTATTCAACCCAAATTTATTGATTCGACACAAGGGAGCCAAAAAATATTCTCAAGTATTAGCAGATGAGTTGTCAATTCAACCACACCTGAAAGACTTAATATCTGCAGCAAAGTATTTAGTAGCAAAGTAGTATGGAAGTAACGGTAACGGTGGCAAAAGTAACAATAGTAGTTTTGTGGCAATCGTAACAGTGGCAATGGAGAAGTAACTAAGCAAAGATCAATATGTGAAAAGCTCGTAGACAATGGATCAATGATGGATAATTATGTCGGATGCAATTCATCATGCAACAGTTATAACATAGGGTGACACAGAACTAGCTCCAGTTCATCAATGTAATGTAGGCATGCACTAAAAAAAACACTTCTGTGATGATACGTGTTTGTCACAGTAGGTCACGTTTTTTGTCATGCATGTACATCCATGATGATTTTATGACAGAATCAAGATAGTCATACATGGGCTGTCGTAGAAGTGTTCCATGACATTACCAAAACTATCATCACGGAAGTGTCAACTTCCATGACGATAAATCGCGCGTCATAGAAGTGCTTTCATCAAGGGTGACCGACACGTGGCATCCACCGTAATGGAACACCGTTAAGCTATCGGGTTCGATTTTGGATCAGATAACCCGCTAACAGCCACGACCAATGGGGATTTTCCGCGTGTAAAATTCTCATTGGCCGGAGGAAACACGTGTTGCCTCACCGTTGGGACAGATGTCATCCACTCATTGGACAGGAGCCGCCTATGATACGTTGAGACATGGCACTGCCCAACGTAGGCCCATTCCGGTGAAAAGGCCGGGCCTATCAAAATAAGTGGGCCGGCCCATTAGCGGCCTACTTGAGTCAGGCCCATTTACAAGTACGGCCTATACAAGTTACACAGAATCGGCCCATCAAAGGCCCATTCTAGATTCTACAATTTCCAGCCCATCGTCACTTTAAGCCCGTTAATGGCGCGCTACGTTTTTGGGCCCAATTGCGGCCCTAGCTTCTTTCGGCCTGTTAGCAGCCCATTGTCAGTTCCAGCCTGTTAACGGCCCGGAACATCTTTCGGCCTTTTCTCGCCCATTCTGCAGTTGGGCCAATTCTAGCCTATTGTGACTTTAGGCCCGTCCTCGGCATATTCGGTAAATGGGCCAACTTTTAGCTCATTTTGTCCCTCGACCTGTTAACGGCCCGCACAACAGTTGGGCCTTTGACTTTAGGCCCATTAGGGGCCCATGTTCCGCAGGGCAAAGGTCCATTAGGGGGCCATGTTCCGCAGGGCATCATTTCAGCCCAAAGCGACTTTCAGCCTGTTAAAAGCCTAGTTTGCAAATTGGGCCTCCTCTGGCCCATAACACTTTCGGCCTCTTACTGGCCCGTAAAGTAAAAGGGCCGAGGCACAATTGACATTTATTTTAGCCTACTAAAGGCCCGTGGGCCATTTCCATTTGTACGGCCATATCGAGCTTTAGGGCTGTTGACGGCCTGCTAAGAGCCGTTGTTATGGTGGGCCACATCATTTGGGATCCACTTAATATTATTTTGACCAGCCCAATTAAGGCCCGCTTTGACAACACATGTTTGTTCGTTTGTATGGCGTCCAGGAAATGTTTGGGCGTGTTGGCCCCCGTTTCAACAATATAGCATATTCAAGAAATATCCTAGTCTATACTATCGCCTCTAAAAACATACACTATACAACAAAAAGACAGCATAGAAACGTAGAATAATCCTACACTATAAATAAAGAAATTACAGCCAAATATACCCACTGGGCATTATAGTTCGGCACCAATGAAATAAAGCATACACAAACAGCAAATTTCATACATTGGAGAAATAAAGCTCATACATCATGGACACGCATCAACAGAACTTACCATTGGAACTATAATCTCTTCAGAAAATAGGATTGACCGGATTCAGATAGCACAAATTTTAGTCTGCAAAATCTCCAATTCCTTCATGGTTACCTCAGTGTCTTATTTCATTTTTTTTACTCCTGCATCTAATACTTGCATGTCCAATCTCAACTTGTTGATTGTACGTTGAGAATCATGTACACGTTGTCTTGCCACCTCTAGTTGATGCTCGAGAACATCAGCACATTCCAATTTTAATCCATAATCATTCGGTAACAGCCATGTCGCACTGCTCGCAGATCTTTGTGTTGATGTCACTTCATCCTGAAATGTTTCTGTAAGTACACATGACTAGGGCAAAAATATAGTTACAACAGTGAAGCGAGCAAGACAGACTATTTTGTAGATGGCAAAACAGGACTAACAATAATGTTGCACGTCATGAAGCATAAGCAGATGATATTTTGAAAATTATAAAAAGATAGTCTGTGCAGCCTGCATACAGAAATGTCTCTTAGATCACCAGAGGAGCATCATGTTGGGGCCCAATCCAAAACACAGACAAGTTACAAATTTAGAAAGCACGTTGCGTATAAATAAGCAAGTAGTTGGCCATTCTGTAGCTCAATTAAAGTCTTAGGGAGCATAATGAACGGCAGAGGGATTCATACAAACCTACTACAACAAGCAAAACTATGCAATCATTAGCCTAGTATATACTAGATTGTGAGCCTCATGCAATAATAGTTGGTTAATATACTTCAAAGCTTCAGGCACACTTTGGCAGAGTAATTAAATGGTATGGCCTTTA